CCCGCGTCTCCTGCATCGGCAGGCGGACTCTCAAGCACTGCGCCACCAGGGAAGCCCAATGATGTTCTTTTTTGTTGTTATTCTATACTCTTCAGAGTAATACATTACACTTGTTTTTCCATCTGGCCTTTTTTTCATACTTCATTTTTATAATTAAAAAGAGGGGACTTTGAAGGTAAAAATCCAGAAATAGAGATAAATAAAAAGGTCAAAATCTTTATTCCTGCAACAGAATCCCCAATTTGATACACCAGAGATCAGACTGACAATTCTCTAGCCATGCTCAAATTCTCCTCAGGTTTATTTAAAGAGTAGAGTAAGAAAGTAAATGCTTAAGGGTCTTACCATTACTATTCAGTGTTTTCATGATAACTTCCATCTGTGCAAATTCATAGTTATAGTCTGGTTCCGAGGAAGCCTCACTGGCTGCATCCAGGTCATGCTCTGGGGGGCCCGTTTCTTTTTCAAAGTCTTTCAACCAATCTCGCCGTTTCCTCTTAGGTAAATTAATTCTGTGGGGTTTTTCACCATTAAAGAAAATCAACGTGTTTTACACTCAGGTAAGAGAAAAGGTGTATGAGTGAACATACTAGTGAACACAAGCTGTTACCTGAAGAAGTGGTTATTTCCCCACAGGATTCTGTCCCCGTGCCACAGCTGGGTGGTGCTGCACACGAGGGTGCCGTTTACGCAGGACCTGAAGGAACACCAGGGGGGCTACATCAGCTGGATGGTAAAGAGCAATAAACCTAGACCCAGGAGCCAAAGAGATAACTGGGGGAACTTTCTCTTAATAGGCATATTCGACTAATACCTAAAGAAGGAATAACAGAATTGTAAACACTATCAAAATACACAATCTAGGCAAAAATGATCAAGGGATGCTGATATCCCTCAAAGACAGACAACTGGACATGATGTGCTCCTGATGGAGATGGGCAACATTGCCTATGGCACATTCTTGTCCATATTTGAGTTGAACCTGATCAAGCCTCTATACCTAAAACCAATTTAGGAAACAGAAAGCACAGCGGAAGATGTTAAATGACGCCGTGGGATGCAATGAGCAAAATGCTGACTGTGGGAAGCAACTAGGTGTCTGCAGCAAATAAAATGCAAGGTAAAAAAAAGTGCGGGAGCAAAGGAGGGGGACCCATGGGCTAAAAGAGTCCCAAGGAACATAACAACCAATGACAATGGTTAAATCTTATTTGGATCCTGATTTCACGAAACAACTGAAAAAGAACCTTTATAAGACAACTGGGGAAATTTGAACACCGCCTCAATGTATGATTAGTAAGGAATTATTGTTTATTATTTTAGGTGTGATGGTACGGAAGCTGTGTTTAAGGATACTGGTCTTTTAGAGATACAAGTGGAGATATTTATGGATGCAAAGTTACAATATCTGGAATATGTTTAAATAACCCAGAGGGGAGGGAGGAGGTGACGTGGAGGACATACAAATAGAAAATAAAACTGTCTATGAGCTGTCATTTTTGAAGCTGGATGATGGCTGTATGGAGGCCTGTTATACCATTCTTTCTACTCTTATGTTTGAAATTTCCCATAAAAAAAACTCAGGGAGAACATAAAAAGAATACCAGGTTTAAATCCTAAACAGCTACCAACCAAATGGTAAAATCAATCAAGGGGAGGGAGGTGAGGGGATGAGTGAAAAAGTTTAAGAGGGATTAAGAGGTACAAACTCCCAGTTATAGTGACATATAGTAACTACAGTGGTGACCATTATGTAATATCAGTATGCTGTATACCTGAAACTAATATAATACTGTAAGTCAGTTACACTTCAATAAAAACAAACAAACAATTAGAGGTGGGGAAGGAAACTCTGATAGTCTTTGTTATACTGTATATATTACACCATAATGATGTACATTGTGTCTGTGGGTTTATGTTGGTCTATGTATCCTGGACTTGCCTGAAACAAATCTTGAAGAAGCAACTGTCCAGTGGACATTTGCAGGTGGTCTTTCAACAGTGCAGCTTTCCTCACATTGTAACTTTGCTACAGCTTACTGGCTATCAAGGGGCTGTGAAGTCAGTAGCCTAAATAAGTCACTATAAAAGATTTTGTAGGATTTCCTGCTTATTAGAAGATCTCAACAACCGATCCTTTGATACAGTTAAAGCACTGTCACTGTGAGTTTTTTTAGGGGGAAAGGAAAACTCCTCCAGAAATTTTAGCATGGACAATTTTAGTCTTCTCATAAATGTTTCCTTTACCTAAAAAAGAGATTTTGCTGGCATTTAAAAACAACACTCCCTAACATCATACAGAAAAATAGAGTCAAAAAGGATTAAAGACCTAAATGGCAGGCCAGACACTATAAAACTCTTAGAGGAAAACACAGGCAGAACATTCTATGACATAAATCACAGCAAGATCCTTTCTGACCCACCTCCTAGAGAAATGGAAATAAAAACAAAAATCAACAAATGGGACCTAATGAAACTTAAAAGCTTTTGCACAGCAAAGGAAACCATAAACAAGATGAAAAGACAACCCTCAGATGGGAGAAAATATTTGCAAATGAAGCAAATGACAAGGCATTAATGTACAAAATTTACAAGCAGCTCAATATCAAAAAAACAAACAACTCAGTCCAAAAATGGGCAGCAGACCTAAATAGACATTTTTCCAGAGAAGACATACAGATTGCCAACAAACACATGAAAGAATGCTCCATATCATTAATCATTAGAGAAATGCAAATCAAAACCACAATGAGATATCATCTCACACCAGTCAGAATGGCCATCATCAAAAAATCTACAAACAATAAATGCTGGAGAGGGTGTGGAGAAACGGGAACCCTCTTACACTGTTGGTGGGAATGTAAATTGATGCAGCCAGTATGGAGGTTCCTTAAAAAACTAAAAATAGAACTACCATACAACACAGCAATCCTACTACTGGGCATATACCCTGAGAAAACCATAATTCAAAGAGTCATGTACCACAATGTTCATTGCACCTCTATTTACAATAGCCAGGACATGGAAGCCAACTAAGTGTCCATCAACAGACGAATGGATAAAGAAGCTGTGGCACATATATACAATGGAATATTACTCAGCCATAAAAAGAAACGAAATTGAGTTATTTGTAGTGAGATGGATGGACCTAGAGACTGTCATACAGTGTGAAGTAAGTCAGAAAGAGAAAAACAAATACCATATGCTAACACATATATATGGAATCTAAAAATAAATGGTTCTGAAGAACCTAGGGGCAGGACAGGAATAAAGACGCAGACACAGAGAATGGACTTGAGGACACGTGGAGGGGGAAGGGTAAACTGGGAAGAAGTGAGAGAGTGGCATGGACATATATGCACTACGAAACGTAAAATGGATAGCTAGCGGGAAGCAGCCGCATAGCACAGGGAGATCAGCTCGTTGCTTTGTGTCCATCTAGAGGGGTGGGATAGGGAGGGTGGGAGGGAGACGCAAGAGGGAGGAGATATGGGGATATATGTATACGTATAGCTGATTCACTTTCTGTACAGCAGAAACTAACACACCATTGTAAAGCAAATATATTCCAATAAAGATGTTAAAAAAAATTTTTAAAGAAAAACAATAAAAGCAAAACAAAACATTAGGGGGATACTTAATCAATTAATTAAAGTTTAATTTGCTATAAGGGCTGTCAAGTGAAGTTTGATGTAGAAAAAATAATGAGTATTATTTTGAGTTTTAATTTTTCTGTAAGTTACTTTTCTCATATACTCTCATTATCTGGCTCCTAATCTTTAGGGGGACTTTTAAGCTCAAAGTTATGGAATAAGGAAAATTCACAGATGAAAATAATCACTCTTTTGTAGTAATATTTCAAGTCTGGTGGCTAAGTTTTTATTGATAAAAAATACCCTGGAAATACCATCTTAAATGTCTTTAATCTGTCGTACACAAACATGGTAAAGCTTTGGTGTGTATGTTTTACGCTAACATGCTCCCTTTATTCTTCAAAATGACTCTCAACATTGTGACTCAAGTTTCAAAAGTCTGTTTCCCATCTATTTGGAAATATGAACTGATTTATTCATCTGCAAAAATGGAAAATGAGATCAGAATATATATGTATATGTACATCTATTGTGAAAATTAATAAAAGGAAACCTCAACTAAAATTGGAGTCAAGAGGCCTGAAAAGGGAACTCTCATACCCCAACACTCATCGTCAATTATCCCAAAAAGGAAGATGTCAGTTACCCCAAAAGGAAGAGACCTACCCTGCACCCCCAACAGGAAGTGCCACTACTTTACTACCCCAGCAGGAGGAAGGAAGACTTCCTCTGCGCCCAGCAACAAGCCCAGCCAATTAAAAAACACCTCAGCTCAGTTAATGAGAAACTGTTGTCACCTAACTTTTACTTTCCTCCAATGAACTTTCATTTTCGTTCCTTGCTGATGACTTCCTTTCCTTGTCCCACCTTCCTTACTATAAAAGCCTTCCACGTTGTGTAACCCCTGATGAGATGCTGCCCAATTCACAAATCATTTAATACAATTACATCTTCAAATTTACTCAAAATTTGTTTGTTAACACTATACATATATAAATATGTACATACATACATACTTTTGCCAAAAAGATGAGTTTTTAAAAAAAGTTTTATAGAATACTTATCTCTTCTACCTAAGAAACAGACATTCAATAGTCAGTTTTTAAGAAATATATTTCTCCATTGTTTATTAAGGCATCTAAAAAGCCCTCCGGAAATTCTAGGAATAGCAGTATGATCAAGAGTAGAAATGTGTCACTCAGGTCCTTTATTATTTTAAACTCTGAATTATAATTTTAAAAATTCAGTTCCTTATCCTCACTGGCCATATGTTAATTCTCAAGAGCACTATCTCAATAGTGGCTACCAAAATGGTCTTAGCAGATATAGAACCTTTCCACTATCTCAGAAAGTTCTATTGAGCAGTGTTATTCTAAAATAAAACTAAAAATAGTTCCAGAGCAAATCAGAGAGAAATGTAATAAGCTTCATCTCTCTTACTTACTGATTACTTTTGTGATCATCTGTATCTTTAGAGGACCCCTATCTAGATGCTAACACACACACACACACACACACACACACACACACACACACACACACACACCTCTGAACATACATATGAACATATCACTTTGCCGTTTATAGTACACTCTTATTACAATAATATAAAAAAGAAAAAGTTATGGAAACTGCCTGGTTTGGTAACATACCCAAGCCAAGAAATTAGCATTAAAAAGTCATTTCTACTTGAACACATGCCTGGGGTACTTGGAAGAAGCAAATATAAAATCTCTTTGCAGGAATTTATGTAGCCTCACCCAAGCCACAAGAATCCTACAGATAAACCGCTGAAGAGGAGCACATCTAAAAAATCATGAACTGCTTTAGGAAGCAAAGTTATCAGCAGATACAACAAATAGTTGGATTGAAGCCCCAGCAACTTCAGAGAACAGAATTTCCCAGTAAAGGCAATAAAATATGTAAAAATAAAATTATTAAAGCATACAATGGAGTAAAAACAAGCCTCTACCAATAGAGACCAGGCATATCTAAAAAAGGACTTCCTAAACTTCTACAAATGAAAAACAGAGACACTGAAATTAAAACTCAGTAGAATGTGGTTAAGCAGCAGGTAAAACATGACAAGAGAGAACCGGTGGACTTGAGGACAGATCTCAGGAAATACTGACTATCCCTTCACGCCATGTCTCTCTCTTGCTGTGTCTCCAATCCCATTTCCACCTGCACAACCAAGATTCGGCCTGCTTCCTCACCTCCTATTCTTCTTTCTTTGCATTTTTTCCTTCCATACCCACAACTGCATGGTACTTAAACATTCCATGGTTGTTAATGTCTTCCTAACTGCTACGTCCAATAGAAGCTCTTCAGCTTCTACTCTGACCTCTTTCTTAAATGTTCTCTTCCCTTAGATCCCATCACTGTATCCTGCTGTTGCCTCTGTGCCTCTCTGACTCCCTTGTCTCACCCTACTTCATGGATTATCTTCAGACCATCCCATAAACATTGGCTTCACCCTTCCACTATTCACTCTAGACCCACTTTCAAGACAGGCAACACTGATTATGCCCAGTCTGTATCTTTAGGGTAGTTCTCCTGCCCTAAATCCAACGTGCAACTGGAAATCTTCACATTGATATCCCAAGGACACCTCAAACTCAAAGTATTCCAAAGTGAACTCATTACCACTCATTGCCTATCATCCTCCAAACCTGTTCTGCCTCTTGTATTTATTTTGATTTAGTAGTGCCACTGTTTATCTCATCTCCTAAGACAGAAATCTAATATTGCTCACTTCTTTTCTTTTACTAAGTGAGTTCCCATCCTGTCCCCAAGCACATCGCTAAACGTCGCTGACTCTCAAGTAATTGTGAAATACATTTTGTTCTTCACTTCTTTTGCTACTGCTGTGTTCCCACAACAATATCGTAATAATATCCTAACAGCTCTCCCTACCTCCAGTCCTGCAAACCCCACACACTTTTATAGTGATCAGATTTGCAGGTTATAAAGATCACTTTAGAAGGAGCACTTATTTTCCTGTATAGTAACAATTGTTTCTATATATTCTCCTCTACCAGGTTTTGAGTTACTATACTTGGGCATTCCCAGTACAGAGCCTAGAGGAAGTATACTGAATGAATGAACCACTGCCCTGAGGTTACAGGAAAGGGGGAGACTGCACAGGGTGGGGAAGGACAAAATGTAGGATAAAAAGACATGGAAGTAAAATCAGGTATGAGGAAATCTACCGAATAAAATCATTTTCAGATGTAGTGTTAAAAGAGAATATGATCAAATTATGTTGTGTGTGTGTGTGTGTGTGTGTGTGTGTGTGTGTATGTATATACACACACATAATTCTGTCAATAAAAAAAAAGTATGAAAAAAAAAATCCAGAGCTTCTAATAGGGGGATACAGCATGAAACTAAAATCTATTTGAACTTGGAATAAGTAAAAATTAAGGAATGATATCATTTCACCATTAAATATCTTAATAATATATCACTATAACAGAAGGCCTACAAATTTCATGAATCATGTATGCTATTATTGTTAGTCTCAGTTTTTCATCACTTAGAAATGTATATGGGTGATATTAACAGAATAATTTGAAATGAATATAGTTTTCTTCATAAAAATGTGTGTTCTGAATTATGTGAGTTAAGGAATACTGTTTTAGGACTTCATTTTACACATGATTATAAAATAATTCAAGACATCATTTAGTAGAAATTAAAAAGTAAATATATTATCCTGTCAATTCTCAAATTTTTACATATTATAGCCTAGTTTAGGAATTTTTCATATAACGGAGTTATCTGATTAACTGCTTTTCATACAATGCATTACACTCGGTAATAACAAATAACTTTATACAATAGATATGTGTGTCAGGCACTGAGCCAAGTGATTTATATGTTTTGTCTACTATTAGCCTCATTTATCATATGAGGGAATTGAAGATTAGATAAAAGAAGTATCTTATCTAAGATCACCCAGCCCTCAAGGCAGAATCAGCCACCCTGAAGATGGTGCTCGAAATCTTGCTTACACAGCTCTCTACAAGCAGAAAGCAAAAGCCAGTGTAGCCTTAACTCTGATATAACTAAGCAAACAGACAGAAAGGGTCAGTCTACGTCTAAAAATAAGGCACTTGAGCTATGTTAAGGAGCTGCTTCTTACCTTTAAGGGACATTTCTTACCTTGCATTTTCTTTTGGAGTGAGGGTGACCTCTCCATCAGAAGCAATATCAATCTCACAGTGCTCAGGCTGAATTCCTATCCCAAAGAGCTGGATGTCCTGTGAGGTATCTGCACCTACCCTGGTATGGTCCTGACAACAGATCATTAAAGAAAGAAAAACCTACCCTTACAAGTAACTCAGCAAAAGTTCATCACAATCAATTCGAATAACCCAACAGCACATGCATGACAACATTAGATGAATCAGATGGAAAATGTGAGATCTGGCGCACTGTAGGTCAAAAGCTTACCTTAATACACTAAATGTAAAATATGATTAAACACTACAAAAAAAACCCAAACCCTGATCAACAGTGATTAGCTATTATTTTAGAACGTAAAGAAGTCAGACTTGATAGTAGAATACCTTGAGCTCCGGTTTTAACTGGACGACTTACTGTCATGTGACCGTGGGCAAGGCATTTCACTCTCTGAGCCTCAGTTTCTTTTTTCTTTTTTTTTTGCAGAACCAGAACAATATTATTAATATGATCTAATGAGCAGGATTCTTTCTCAAGGATCACCTGAGTTAACGGTGAAAGTGCTTTGAAAACAGCTCTATAAATTCAAGAATCATTGAAAATAGTTTCATGGAAAGTCATATTTTCAAATATGTAACTTTTAAAGTGATTTAAAAAATAGTTGAGTTTCTAATACCAAATTACAGAGTACTGAAGCCTGTGGATTATACAATGTACAGATTAGCATGATTTTTAAGTACCTCAAACCTCAGACATGTGAGGACTGCGACCCTTGGTGACTCTGCCCACTGCTCATCCTCTTTGTTTGTTCTATTGCTCTAAAAACCATGCAGTCACTATGATAATAATATACTTCCCTATTCAACAGAGAAACTGCAAGACTTGGTCTTTCAAAATTAAGATTTCAGAAACAATTCCTTACCCCTTCATCATTTCCTAAATGAATAGATCTTAAGTCCATTAGTGGACTCTCAATAAGTCAGGGGCTATTTGTGCCATATTTATTTCTGGAAAAAGTAGAATAAAAAGGATGATAGAAGACTGAGGTTCCCTTCTTCACTTCTAGCTTATTCTCCACTCGTACATTCACGAGGCAGCTCAGAATCTTTAACGAAGCAGTCTGAGAACTGCTGCAGCGAGCCCTGCAGCCTGGTCAGTGGCAGTACCCTGAGGCCGAAGTGCCGAATCCAAAAGGCCACGCCCATCTCCACACTTGAAGGTGATTATAGGACCAAAAGTTATGTCCTGAGCATACAGGCTTAGGAGGGATGGATATGGAAGAAGCCTAGCTGTCTAATCTTCCACAAGAGTCTGCTTTAGGCTTGTGCTGATCTCGAGATCCCCTTAGAATTACTCAGAAGCATAATGGTGACTCTCCAGAGCTTCTCAGAATCCTGTCACCATAGCCAGGGATCACTCTGACACCTTCCATTGCTCACTCGTGCCCCTCTGATGGAAATCAGCCCAACTGCACAGCCCCAGTAGAATGCAAAAGAGCTGGTTTTCACTCTTAACGGTAACTTGATTGAACTACCAATCCTCTTACTTTTAACGAGAGCTAAGCTGGATACAAAATGCAAAATCATGGGGACAGGCACCCAGACTCAAGTGGGAATCGTACGTGACGGAATTGGGATTGCAACTATCCACTAATATACTCTCTCACCTTTAAATAATAAACCAGAAGTTCGTTGAGAGCAGGGTCTGCATTCAGGTTGACTAAATAGCACTTGTCATCCCCCACCTTGATACCAGACGTCTCCAGGGAAATCCCCATACTTTCAAGTTGTCGTTGCCTCTCCTGTGCACAGACACAGACAAAAGCAGGGAAGCTCTATTTGTTGCTCTAGTCATGAGATGTATCCGTGGAAAGCTTAAGTCACTATTTCTGGGGACAAGGCCAGTGAAATTACACATTCTACTCAGTTCAACCAAGTTCACTGAGATCCTAGAACACATGACATCTTGTGTCAGTGTTTTAGGGGCACCAAGGATGAACCAGGCACCATCCTGCCCTTAAGGGCTTCCTGTCCAGTGGAGGTGATAAGACCACACAACTAGAAGTAAAAGAGGAGAGCCCTGTGCCATTGGAGAGGAACAATGTGCTGCAGGGCTTCAAAGGAGGGAAATCATGATGGGTTAAGAGTCCAGGAAAGGCTTCTTTCAGGAAGAGAATGCATTTGAGATGGTTCTTGAAGCACAAGAAGAATTTCAGTAGGAGGAAATGGGAGAGCAGCAAGGTAAGGGCAGAGTGTTCTAGGGGAAGGGCAGAGGAAAGCACAGTAAAGACTCGGGGCGCACTGGATGATTTCAGGTGGGAAAGTCAATGTGGGAAAATAGTGGGAGACGGGGCTGGAAGAGCAGGCTGGGTCCCTTTTGCAGAGGGCCTCAAATTCATTCAAGTTATTCAAGAAATATTTATGTGTTAGGTACAGATCTAGGGCTGGGCATATAAAAGCAAACAAAACAAAGCTACTCCTTTCATGAAAACTTATATTCTAATGGAAGGAGAGAGACCATGACAAAATAGACAAGTAAAATACAGAATTTCCAAAGGTGATATGGGCTATGAAGAAAAATAAAGCAATGTAGGAGTTATAGAAAGTTAGGTATATGTTTGTGATATCTACAAGACACATATAAGCAGCAGGCTGGACTAGGTTCCAGTTACTGATTTCAAGCTACCTGATTGGGATGGTCCAATACTTATAAGTGGTCAATGAGATTAAACTGCTCATGAAATGCATAGTGCAGAGGTTCATCTCTCTCTCATACACACACACTCACATGATTAGTCCTTGCTTTTTATTTTCTCAAGTAAAGTTCATAACAGCATTTGCTAACAAGCTGAAGAATCATGCACACTGAAAAAACTACTGATGTGCTGCATGTTGTGAATTCTCTGCCAATCAGGTAGCTGCATGCTTTGCCAGGTGATCTAAAACCACAGAACAGGTTTCTGGTTAAATGTGAAAAGCAGAACGTATTAAAGATGTTTCCTGAACCGTGCCTGTACAAATTCAGTGCTCTGCAACACTTCTAGCAAATACAGGGACCAAACGGTAGTTAATAAAAAACAATGAAGTCAGTGTCTAAAACGGATCTTTGCAGGCTCTAGTTCAGCAGAAAGAGGTCCTTAAAGGACTTTTTGAGGATGATAAGTGGCTATACAGAAAAGACAGCAAATGAAAAAGAATCACTATAGCACGGGGAAACATATTCAATATCCTGTGGTAAAACACAATGGAAAAGAATATATATATATATAAAAAGAATGTCTACATGTGTATAACTGGGTCACTTTGCTGTACAGCAGAGACTGGCACAGCATTGTAAATCAACTCTACTTCAATTAAAAAATAAAAAATAAAAAAAAACCCCACAATATTTTAGGCCCAAGTTATCAAGCTACCTGTGCAATTTCTTCTGTTTTCCTCAGCTTCTCTTCCCAAGTCACTGTTAGTTCTCTTATCAGCTTTTCAGACTCTTCGAGCTTCTCTTTCAGTTCAGGGGCCTTCATGGCCTTTAAAATGAAAGCAGAGAAATCTGATTTTCTAATTTTTTCCACCATTGTGTACAAGACAATCCCTTATTGTCCTTCTTAAGGGGTTATCAACTGTCTGTTGGAAGCAATTAAGCCACACACTGTAAGGGGGTTTTAGACCTTTATTAATCAAATGAAGTGAAAGAGTAAATGGCTGCTACTCTTTGAGGGAGAAAAAGAAATTCCAGTGCCCTGAATTAAATAGATACAAATCATCCCAGAGTAATTTTAGCCATCGTACTTAAATTTCACATTTAAAGACCTAAAAGATGCTAAAGTTCACCTTCAAAATAGAAAAGTATGAGAACAAATTACTTAAGTAGACTTCTTTTTCAATAAGACAGAGATCAACACACATCACTAATAAACACATTCCAGTTACATTAACCTACCAGGAAAGGTGGCAATTCTTCTCATTTATTTTAAAATTTGAGTCTGGGCCATTTGAACTACTTTTCTTATTGATGGTAATAAACTTAGCATATTTATTACTCACTTGGAAATAGGACTTCTGGTTAAAAAGGCAGTAATTTCCCTCTGTGTTTGCTCAGTGAGAATAATTAAGGGGTCTAAATATAGCTACATGCAGCTTAAGAAATTTGGGGGGCCTTTACTTGGCCACCACATATACTTTTTGGACACCTTATAGTAACATGAGCTTCTGCAGAGTATAACCCTATGACCAAGAAAGACGGCAGAGCTCAGACAGGAAGCTGAAGTGCCGATGATGTGGAGGCCGGCTGAGGATGCTTGAGTCTCACTCTGTTAACAGAGCCTGGGAGTGACATTTAGTACTGGGTCCAAGGGGACATACATGAAAATTCTACATGAACCTGCTGTGGTTCCTCTGCTCTACCCTTTGGTCAGGCATTGTTCTAGCTACCCGCCCTAGATTACATGGTCACAGTGGAAATGCAGATTCAAAGAAAACAGGGAGGATGGAGATCATCCACCTACAGACAAATTCCAGAGCTGTTATACTCTCTTCCTAGGATCATGACTCGCATCAAAGTTTATCAGCATTTGGATTTTTCAGGTGTTATGCTACCCTTCTTGGCATTGATTTTTAAAAAAATTATGCTTGATGCACTCAATGATGATTATGATGATAATCACAAAAAGAGCAACATTTATCGAGCACTTACCATGGGCAAGTCATTGTGCTAAGTGCTTTCCAGCATCAATGTTGTACTAAGGGTTAGCGATAAAAAAATTAATAAAACATGCCTCTTGCACTTTAGGAGCCCGTGGCCAAGAAGACGAGAAAGACATGTAAACAAAGAGTTATAATGCAACTCCACTATCACCAACAGATGGAATATTCAGATCCCTGGCTTTGACTTCCTTTTCTTTGTGGGGTCAGAAGACAGTGGTATGAAGGAATGTGAACTTAGAAGCCTTAGGTACACATCTGAATCTTGGCATGTGGAAGCATGTGACTGAAGTTAAGGCACTTGACCTTCATCTCTTACTATTTCAGTGAGACAGTGCCTCTCTGGCAACAGCTATTTGGAAAGGGTTATGGTTATTAAAGTCTGGGTAAAGCCAAGGAAAGATGGTAACAATGCAAAATGATTTTGTTCCCTGTCAGGAGCTGATAAAAAAAGATAAAATAAAAGGAGATTTCTGAATTTTTCCTAATGCTAACTATTCTTGACCACCTTGTCCTCCATGACTTAATGAGGAGATGATACAGAACTAATTTCTCTGAAAACGGCAAGGCTGCGTGGGAATGTAATCTACAATGTTAATCAAAGCAGCATATTTGGGTCTTAGGATTTCACATTGGAAGAGATCTGGGCTCAAGGGCCAACTGATTGACTGAAGCAAACAGGCAATAGCAGCACCTCTCTTTTAATTGTCTGCTTCCTTGACTGTCAGTTCATGGGACAGAGCCTTGCATTATACGCCTGTGTCTTCACAGTGCTTAGCACGGAGAAGATGCCCATCAACTCAGAACTGCTGCACCACTTGAGGCGACCTGGAGGTGCAAGCGAGCTCGACCTCGCCTCGCCACTCAGACACCACAAGCCGGGGAGCTTGGATCACAGGGAGCACTGGGCTGACCATACCTCAGCCTGCGAGAGTTGCTCTCGCAGTTTCTCCACTTCCTCCCGCAGTTCCCGGATGACTTTTGCATTGGGATCCTCATTCACAACGGCATGGTTAACAATCCTTTTGGCTCGATCGGCATATCTTAGTGTGGAGAGGGTCTCTTCGTAGTTGTCTGCTGCTGGGCTAATAGTGGCGATCATAGAGGTCTGGCTGTTGCCCCCCAGATTGTCCTGCAAAATATTTCAAATAGCATCTTAGGAAATGAGGCCCATTCCATGCACAACGCATGAGAGAAGCAGCAAACGTGCACGGATGACCTCTGCGGTGAAGAAAACTCAGTGTGGAAATGGGTTTGTATTTCACAAGTAAGTTTATGACAGATGAAAGTGGTCTCTCTCTATTCACATCAATGCACAATGCCTGCCAAACAGCATTATTAATGGAAAAAAGGCAACAGGAATGAGTTTTCATCCTGCATGTTTAGGAATCAGGATAACACTATTGTCAGGAGTTCGTTGTGTAGTATTTTGCACACACTTCTCAGCTGTCACCACTGAAACAGCCAATTTCTAGTTGGAAAAGAACACGAGAACAATGAATTACCTTAAGAAGCCAAGTGAGGACTGAATCACGATAAGGCACAAATTTGTTTTTACCCTTGCCAGCTGCCTGGTCAGCCAGTGATGAGATAACCAACCCCAAGGTTGTAAGTGATCTGCCAAGAGAAAAATTAAAAAATTAGTTTTATGGAGTATTTATTTAGTTTTCGTAAAATAATAATCCTTCTAGATAATAAGTATAAAATTATAAGTCCCGGGCTTCCCTGGTGGCGCAGTGGTTGAGAGTCCGCCTGCCGATGCAGGGGACGCAGGTTCGTGCCCCGGTCCGGGAAGATCCCACATGCCGCGGAGCGGCTGGGCCCATGAGCCATGGCCGCTGATCCTGCGCGTCCGGAGCCTCTGCTCCGCAGCGGGAGAGGCCATAACGGTGAGAGGCCCCCGTACCGCCAAAAAAATTAAAAAAAAAAAAAAAAAAAAAAAAAAAAATATATATAAACCCCATTAATTTAAAAGAATGAATTTAGAATCCCTGTAGAATCTATTCCGATCAATCACAGGACCTGTGAAACATACATTTCAGAACCTGGAAACATACATTTAAAAGATTGCACTAGAGGGGTTCCCTGGTGGCGCAGTGGTTGGGGGTCCGCCTGCCGACGCAGGGGAAGCGGATTCGTGCCCCGGTCCGGGAAGATCCCACATGCCGCGGAGCGAGCCATGGCCACTGGGCCTGCGCGTCCGGAGCCTGTGCTCCGCAACGGGAGAGGCCACAGCAGTGAGAGGCCCGCATACCGTGAAAACAAAAAAAAAACAAAAACAAAACAAAACAAAAAGATCGCACTAGAGAATTATAACTTACTTCAAATATTATGTTTAAAGTCTCAACCATTTACTCTTTGAGTCTAACTTGGACCACTCTGGCCTCTGATTTTCCCAGAGTAACAATGTAACTTGCAAAGCACCCTTCCACTACAGTTACAAGGTACATCCTGTTCATCTGCTTAAAGCTGGCAAGCTTATTTCAATGTGGAGTTGCTACAGTCTAACAAAGAACTACACAAGCAGAATCTTGGAAGCCTTCCCAGGCCTACTGAATCAGAACCAGTTAAAGGTATCTCCAGGTGATTCACACGCACATTAAATTTTGAGAAGCCCTGGCTGAACAATACCCAAAGTGATACATACATTCAGGTGCCAGGCCTATGAGCCTCAAAAGTGGTCCTGGGACCAGCAGCACCAGCACAACTTGCAGCCGTGTTAGAAATGCACATTCTCAGGCCCCACCACAGACCTACTGAATCAAACATTCATGGTGGGACTCAGGAACCTGAGCTTCCACAAGCCTTCCAGGTGATTCTGATACAGGTAGAGTATAAGAACCACTAGTCTAGGCTAATGAGTGTCCCGTGGTGGTTAATACATGTTCTCTGAACTTGGAGAAAAGATCACCATAGAAACAACAGATTTGTGGTATTGAGGGATGAAGGACATCCTTGTATCATAGTTATGCACCAATTGCTCTTTTAAAAGAAATCAACTGAATTCCAAGTTTAGCAGCCAGAAAAGAGCAGTCTCAGGGCATCTCCCGGGACGGCAAGGAAGGTTACATGATATCGTAAAGACAAAACCCTTTGTAAATGATTAAAAAATTAAAAGCTACTACGTATTTATAAAAAACAAGGAAGGACACAAATCAGCATGTGACTAGAGCTTAGCAACTGAAAGACTACATAGCTTTCTTTCTAATGTTAACAATAGATTTCCATTAAATAAGTTGAAAGGAGTAAAAGCATATTTCCCATCACACAATATAATTCTCCAAAGGTGAGTCACTGGAAAAGTCATTGAAATACAAAGCAATTCCAAGAGGCAAAAATGAGTCAGAATTTTAATAACCAACAGCCATTACTGCCACGTGACATAAATATGTGTATCATAATTGACAAATTTAAAAGTTAAACAAATCCACTCCAAGAGAAATGAAAACATATGTCCAAACAAAAACTTGTATAACAATTTTCATAGCAGCAATATTCACAACAGCCAAAATGTGCAATCAGTCCAAAGGTCCACCGAATGATGAAGGGAAGAATAAAATGTGGCACGTCCTTGCTAAGGAGTATTATTCAGCCATATGAGAGGAATGAAGTTCTGAAACATGCTACAACATGGATGAACCTTGAAAACTTACAAGAGAAAGAAGACAAACACAAAACGCCACTGTCCTGGGTTGTATAGTGCCCACTCCCCACCCCCAAATTCATGTCCACCGGAACCTTAGATGTGACCTCATTTGGAAATAAGGTCCTTGCAGATGTAAATAGTTAAGATGAGATCATACTGGCTTAGGGAGGGCTCTGATCCAATGACTGGTGTACTTAAAATAAAGCCATGAGAAGACACAAAGACACACAGGGGAAAACAACAGGTGCAAATGGAGGCAGAGACTGGAGTGATGCATCCACAGGCCAAGGAGTGCCGGCAACCACTAGAAGGTAGGAGAGAGGCATGGAAGAGGTTTTCCCTCTGAGTCCCCAAGAAGGAACCAACCCTGCTAATCCCTTGATTTTGGACCTCCAGCTTTCAGAACCGTGAGAAAATATATGACTGTTGTTTTAACCCATCCAGTTTGTGGTAATCTGTTATAACACTAGGAAACTGATACAGCCATATACTGTTTGATTCCATTTATATATGAAATATCCAGAAGAGGCAAACCTATAGAGATGGCAGTCGTGGTTGCCTGGGGCTGGGGAGGTGGGGGGAAGGGGGAATGATCTGGACACCAGGTTTCTTTTGGGGATGATGAAAATGTTTTAGAATTAGATCGTGGTAATGGTTACACAGCTCTATGAATATCATAAGCTACCGAACTGTACACTTTAAAAGAAATTTTAAGAAAGAAAAATGGCATGTGATATATATGAAATAGAGGGAAAAGGGAGTTCAATATAAGGCAAAAACACATTTCTGCTTTAGATATAGAATACTGGGCATTTTTCACATTTTGCTACTATTGAAATGAAGTTTTCATTTGGAAGCAACTCTTTGGACTATCCCCAATTTTGCATACCCAAATGCAGCAGAAATTACTTTAATTCATACCAACTACAAAGAGCTCAGCGACTCAAGGGTCAATACCGGCAATTCTGAGGTTAACAGTGGTCCTACAGCTCTATAACTTATTCAGTTAGAGAAGCTTAACACTTGTAGAAGCCATGCTCTTTACCTAACGGTGTGCATACATTCAAAACAATAACTTCATCTGAACCTAATATGGTCCTCTTGGAACAAAAAGAAATAAACTGCAGAATGAGTGGGACTCAGTGATGACTGAGAGGTCACCAGGTTACCCAGTGACGAGGGGTCCATGCCACCCCCCCTTTCTGGGTTGCCCCCTGGAAGCAGTGATCCAGGGGCATCTAGGATCCTAAAAACCATTTGAAAGTTCAATGTCTGAAAGTTGAACACCAGGCTTACATATTTTAATGGGAATTTTATTTCCAGGGACCTTAAAAATATAACAAAATAACTAATTATGCACCCTGCTAGCTCTGCTGTTTCAGCCTGGAGGCAAACAGGCAGCTCATGGGTGTCAGAACGGGGTGGGAGTGTTTTGCCAATTTTAGGGGCTGAAAACGTTACTCCAGGAATCTTTCTCCTTCTAGGAAAGCACCGCTCCTTTCCCGAACCTGCTGGAGGTGGAGACAGTGAGGAAGTTCCTAATGGTTAAATCTCTCACCACAAGTCCTTGGGCGGGGGTAGGGAGGAGAAGGGGGAGGGGCTGGCTGCGGAGGAAGGATGACTTAGGCCAGGGGATAACATCTATAAACAGACAGCCGGGGCTTCCCTGGTGGCGCAGTGGTTGACAGTCCGCCTGCCAATGCAGGGGACGCCTGTCCGCTGAGCCTGCGCGTCCAGAGCCTGTGCTCTGCAACGGGAGAGGCCACAACAGTGAGAGGCCCGCGTACTGCAAAAAAACAAACAAAACCCCCCAAAAAACAGACAGCCAACTATAATAAGGGAGAATTCGGGATCAGAAAGAAAGTAAATAAAACTCAGGAGGATCAAAAATAAAAGTGGCTCGCTGAAAAAAAAAAACTGTCAGATATATGTACACATACAGCTGATTCACTTCACGGTACAGCAGAAACCAACACAACACTGTAAAGCAACTATACCCCAATTTTAAAAATTGTCATAATTCAACTTTTTTTTTTTTTTTTTTGCTTTTCTATACCTTCCTTAAACCTACCTAGTTTCCCTTGAAACTCCAATTACCAGATTCCTTCCTTTAGGAGTAGATATGATGTGATGTGAGTTAGCTATAATGTCTAGGATGGATTTCAAATCTATTTGACCTATGTTTGCAGTGATCTTTTTCTAAGATCATAACTGTAGGACTTATTAAACTTTATCAGGGTCAGCTGTGTATGCACTGCTCTTTCTACTTAGACTGTGACCACCGTGGCAGCAGAGACTGCTATGCCTGGCTTACAGAAAGCACACAGTCAATATCTGCCAAGTTACTACGCTGAGTCTAGAATACGGTGAAGAACAGAAGAGGAACCTCTTTCTACAAAGGACTAATTCAATGACAGTTTGGGTACACTCTGTGGGTGCTGGCCCAATATCCATTTTCCCCTTCTAACTTGCTAACGGACACCTGATTTTGCTGGGAAGGATGAACCGAGCTAAAATCTCTACGGAGTCCTCTGCAGCTCGGAGAAGCCACGAAACACAGTTCTGGCCAATGAGATACAGGGAGATATTCCTGGGAGGCGCTTCCAAGCAGGCTATGGTTCTGATAGAAAAGGTACATAGTCAGCTGACAGAAGCCAGTGGTCATTTCCCCATCTTGTTTGGAACACAGATATGGATACAATGCCTGGAATGGTGGAGCTGTCTTGAGGTCATGAGAGCCGCATGAACGCATACTAAGGTTAGTACATACAGCTGTGTGCCTGATAGCATTTCTGAGGTATTGGACCTGCCTCTGACTTCTTGTTAAGTGAGAAAGATTAACTCATCACTTGGTTGTCATTGCAGTGGTTTCTGTTGCTTACAGCATAATGCAATCCTTGGCTTTTACAGAATTAGTCAAAAGATGATGAAGTTAGTGGAACTGAGTTTAGCCCTCTTCCCCAGGAAGTCC